TGTTATCATTATTATTATTAAGTACTGCTACAATTATCAACAACTTTTTTGTTATCATTATTATTATCACTATTATTGCTATTGATACTAATCGAGTACTACTGGTATTATTATTATTATTATTATTATTATTATTACTATTAATTATTAATAGCGTTAAGGAATATTATTAATTTTTCATTTATATTTTAATTCTATTTATTAAAAAACTGCTATTGTTAATTATGTGAGAAGTAACTCTAATGATGCTGAGATATGCAAAACTCCGGACCGCAGGTGTATGCGGTGGGGAACGAACACGCTATTGTCATTTCCGGGGAGTAACGCGCTCACCACCACACCATGCGGATCCGTTTCGCCAATCTCTCAGCTAGTTCTATCGATCTTTTACCATCAGCAATCACCCGTCAGGGGGATTGATCTGGGGAGTCCAAATCCGCAACGAACCCAGTTAAGCTGAGGCTGCAGATATAATCACAATTTTAGCTTATTATTTACTGCCTACTCTTTTTAACGGCAGGGTATATTGCGAAATATAACTATTTGCAAATATCTGAGCATTATAGTAGTTATATTTGAAAAAAATATCCTGCCGTTAAAAGGAATAGGCAGTAAATAAAAAAGGTTAAAATTGCGATTATAACTATAGCCTCAGCACAACTGGGTTCGTTGCCGATTTGTGCCCCACAGATCAATCCCGCTGACAGGTGATTGCTGATGGCAAAAGAGCGATAGAACTAGCTGAGAGACAGGCGAAACGAAGGACCCGCGTGGTGTGGTGGTGAACGCGCTACTCTCGGAAAGGACAATAGCGCGTTCTTTCCACACCGCATACACCTGCGGTCCTGAGTTTTGCAAATATCTCAGCATTTCATACGAGTTATATTTCGCAACATACCCTGCCATTAAGAAGAAAAAGGCAGTAAATAAAAGGGTTACGATTATGTCAGCATTATTAAAGTTATATTTCGCAACATATACCCTGCCGTTAAAAAGAGTAGGCAGTAAATAATAAGTTAAAATATGTGAGATGTATCGCACTGTGCAGATCCGAGCACTTCCTGGATTCATTTCGCTTCCACGAAATCACCCTCCAGGAATGTCTGGGAATTTTTTTTGTCCGTAGGTTCAGCCATTGGTTAAGGATTTTCGGCCTTCACCACAAATATCGTTGAATGCTGGTCGTTTCGATTCTCTCTAAAATCCTGTGATAGTCGTGCTATTGCGATCCCGCGTTGATTGGAGGGAGTCAGCTTGTCTCGGCCAAGTTTGCTACCAACATCTCGACTTCTGATGTATGACAGGCTTGGCTAGCCCGCAGCGATGTCGAACCAGGGTCTGGTTAGGTTGAATCATTAACTCTGCGCTACCCATATATGCATATATATGTATATAAACACATTTATATGTGTATATTGTATGCAAATATTGCAAGTTGTAGGTTGTAAAATAAAAGTGAAATAAAAGCGTGGTAAGACTTGATGACTGTTTCGAAAGAAAAATAGTGGTGAACACCACTCTTTGAACACCGGATCATTCCGAAGTGGTATTTTCAATGAAAACTCGTTTTTTCATAGGGAAAAGCTCCTCGAAAGTGTCGAAGTCCAGTATTCAAGTAAAGGCATTTCCCCGTATCTTCACGGGTCATGCTCTCTCTGCAGCAGGCACTCCGCTACAGCAACGGCACTTGGTCGCAAATTGAAGCCGTCCAAAAGAGACCCTTCGTAAACTACTAAGCGTTGAAAATAGCTGTTTATGAGCTACGCCCAATGTAACATCCGTATTGGACAAGCTATCGGTGGAATACATGAAACTGCTGGGAAAAGCCTCTGTAAACCACTGATATGAGGTGCTTCCATTCTGGTAGGTGCTAGATAGCCTGAGAAACTACGTCGTATTCGGCCATGTGTAAATCATATGTGATTCATGGTGCTGTCAATGAGGCAAGGAGTGTAGAACACAAGAGTATAAATGGATCCATGAATTTAAATAAATAGAAGTGAACGCATACCTGCTTAACACCTTCAGCCCTAATTTACCTCAAAAGTTAACGTAATTTTTCTCCTATACTCAAAATACATAGTTTATAAGACTAACCAACGCGGTTCATTTCACCCATTTTTGCCTTTGATGTTAAGAACGGAAAGAGAACAGTAAAGAGTGAATGTCTTACCAACATAGGGGCATACAAATACACATTTCTCTTTAGATTTATTGGTATCATTATCTTTGAAACGTTCTTCAAAGTTACAGCATGTTACAAAATTACGTTAGTGAGACTGTTTCAATATCGAATCATTAAAAATGAGGCCATATAAAACTGATGAATATTAACAGCTTGGACCCGAAATGTAGGAAATCTCTATCTTCAGAGAAAATGCGGAAGTTATACGATAATTTCATACTCCTGTTCTCCTGGAAAGTACCATTTCAGAAGTCGATGAATAGGTGGTTGAACCAAATTCAGCACAGTAACCAGTGCGACCATCAGGAGAAGAACAACAACCGTGGCGAGAAGATACGAGTTGAAGACGTGTGGCTCCATATACGTTAGAAACTCGGATTAACATAGGCGATAGCCTGGAATGTTTCCATGGTTACGGATTGCGAGACCTGAAGGAAATATAGAGGAAATAGTCGCTAACACGAATGCTTACTAAAATAATGGTTTAATTAATGTTCTATTTCAGGCTAAAGATCGCTTTCATTTTCTTGCATTATAAAGTAGAAATATCTGTGAATTTAGCACATATACAAACATACATATAGGTATAAACGAGATAAAAGTGCCACTTATTCTCAGCTAAAGTCACTCATCATAAGGGGATCAAAAACAAAGTTATACTAGCGGACATCTAACGTATTCGCGACTGTATGCCTTGAGTAAAATGCATACGCGACATAAGACTACAGCCTGTTGGTTTTGAACAAACATATCTCTTCTCCTAAATGAAACAAATACCACTAGGAATCTATAGACCTCTGTCAACCAGATTTAAGTTTTCTCAGAGCACCACGATGAGAATCTGATTTTCTGTAAGCAACGAGTCAACGTTCCCTAGTTTTATCGTAGAGGCTCGAATTTCGAGCAGTAGGACTAATGAACAAGTAGGATTTCCTCTGGCAGAGTGCGATGATTTCCGATTACGCTGTCATTGTGACTGGTTGTCCAGTTTGTGTTCAAAAGAATTATAAAAGAGTTGTTACATCAATACTTTTTTTTAACCTTCAGTCGGAAATTGGAAAGAAAAAATTACTTTAGAGGCGTCGAAGGTATAATTACGGCCATAAGGGTCAAGGTTCGCCTACAGTTATACCACGTCTCGAACTTTTCAACTACACTTGCTTTTTTACTTTATTTTATACGACCCGTCTTCACGTCCATTGTTAGGATGCCAGTACTTCTCACATTCATTCGTTTCCTCGCATCCACAGTACACGAAGGTCTTCCAAGTTATTACGTGTGGCATCGGATGCTGCTTGAAGATTTTCATTTCATCTTGAATGTTGCAGAATGCTGGTCGAGTTGATTCTCACTGGAGTCCTGAGATATCCAGGCTACTATGTTCCTATCTGGAATGCAGATAGAGATTTTTCGTCATAAATCTGGTATCAATTACCACACCTCGTAGTGATGAGAGGTTTCGTGAGCCAGAGAGGTATCGAACCGCCTCCATGCTCGTGATAGCCAGCATCATTACCACAGGGCTATGTGCTCCTTCCTCAAATACATTAGTTATTAAAAATTTATCGGCATTGTCAAGAAACCGCCATCAGCATGAATGTGTTAGTAACATGATTGATTCATGATCTGCCTAGTAACGAATGTTACGAAGATATAAAATATTACCATCAATAGCACCAATTAATATTGAGGAATCACTGTTTTATTGAAGAATAGTGATGACCTTAGCTTTCTCAACAAATGGAACGACACGATCGATAAAGAGACAATAAGGCATTTAGAAAGTCTTTTAAAAGTAGGGTTAAGGCCGATCACAGTCATGGGAAATCTTCAAATGCGTGACTTTGACTGCCCACAAAGTTGTGCGAATCCGCGGGAATGGGCGTGTCCCCGGATAACAGGAGCACGCACGAGCTCTCCCCTAGAGACTCCATAAAAGTCACACTTCTCTTCCTCAACATTTTTTTTCATTTACTGAGTGAAAGCATAGGTTCATTGTTGCTAAGGACCCTAATTTAATGTCATTAGTAGTTACAGTTAAGAACCGTACATTGTATGAAATTCGGAGAAATCTTTAAAAAAAAGAGAGCTTGACATTGAAATCCAAAAAAGAGAACAATAGACTTCGTTCAGAAGATGCTCAGAGAAACTAAACGAGATAAGCGGTTTTGATTGAGCTCCTAAAGCATACTCTAAATAGATTAGTAATGTAGTAAGGAATGACTAAAAGCGCATTTAAGACGGGACAGGGTGGTATAAAAGTCAAACGTAGAACCAGTTGTTTTCGCTTTTTCTTCGACTCGTGTCCACAAAAATGCCGTAATTTCCAACGAGGCTACGCGAATGATACTCAGAGAGCGCATGGAATCAGGAGACACGGGAGCTGGAGTGTCCACAAAAGACAAGTACTTCCAATAGAGAGTGCTAAGGAAGAGGAGGTATTGGGAAGGTGAGGTCGACCTTGTGGGTCACTCTTGGCAACACGCCCACACCGGCTCCGCCTCGCTGAACGGTCACCAACGAGCCTATCGATCGGCTCCTGGGCTTGGTCACGTGGGTGTGTATGATTCATTCTCCCATTCGGGATCCCTCAACACCACACTGAAGTCGCCTAGAGGAGGACAATACGCTGTGTGCACAGTTGTTTCTTCTTTACATCATTTCATCCAACCACTCTGTACGGTCCTGGTCCAGTTAACCTCTATCCAGTTGAACGATCACTTCAACGCACCTACCAGCCGCTTCCTCTGTATGCCTTTTGGTATTGTCCTTAAAACAGTCAGCTGTTCCAGCTGGTTATCCCGAATGCTAGAAAATGCCTCAACTTGAAGTTCTAACCTTCACATTGGCACTGGTTCGCACAATAATGGCTCAGGGCCAGGTAGTGCTGGACCCAGGGTTGCAGCAGAATCGACAACCTGTGCAGAACATTTTGGGCGGAGTGTATTCTAATAATGTGACACTATATTTCCGAAATTCACCATATAGGGTCACCACTGACCTTACTGTTGAGCACGGTGCGACCTTAACGATAGAAACAGGAGTGCAGATTTACTTCGACACCGGAATCGGGCTGATAGTAAGAGGCACGCTGCAAGCGATCGTGAGTTCCTTGCTTACTTATTAGCTGTTCACTTTTTAAGGTTTTCTGCCATTTGGTTTTTCTGGTTTTTTCCTCCACAAGTCGGCGTCTTCTGATGGTTTCGAATCGATCGACCGCTTTTTGATGACTAAGGTTCCATGTGTTTGCTTTAGATTGCACAGAGATTGCGTGACGGAGGACAACCAGTACGGTACTGAGAGAATACTCGTGCGCTTTAAGACTCCTGAGACCATAAATATTTGTTGCTTTAAATGTCTTCCAAGTCTTGTATAGTTTAAGATTTTGTGGGTTATGGTTAGGAAAATGCCAGCCGATTTTTGGAGGACAGATGGAAAAGAGGAGACAAGATTTTCCGGTCACAATCGTAACGATAGAAAAGACTGATTGAGGGGCGAGACTCATGTACTCTTCAGCTCAGCGCTGTAATAAATTCTGCACGAACATTCGTAAGGAAAGTGTCTGCTAAGGTGCTTTATCTCTGCTCTTTGAAATTACGTTTGACAATCACAAAGATAGCTCTGTATAGTACCATTCTTAACCATTAGCTAAAATGCTTTAGAATTTTCAGTTAATTCCATTTTTATACTTTTCCACCAAATTCTTTAAAGAACACCTGGTATCATCTGATCTGTACCAACTTCACTGTTCGTGTCTGTAAAACGTTGTGACACTGAATCAGATGGTTTTCTGATTCTAACTAGATGACATGTGGTTTGAGGCTTACGTTGAAATTTTCGATTTTTTGCGCCATACAGGGCCCGTTTTTGATGGGATAAAGATAAAGTTCTCTCGATGGAAGACACCATATTTCTTTGCTGTTGACAGAAGGAGTTTGTGGAAATTCGGCTTCTCTTCATATAGCATCTCTACTTTTTCTTCCATTTCGTTCGAAGAAGTTTTAGCTTCAAAGTATTCGAAAAGAGAATTAATCGACAGACGAGCCGACAGATGAGCCCTTCTGTAAAATCACCAAGTGTTCCTGGTATAAGTCTAAGTAGCTAGTGCATTCAGCTGTCATGGTGTTTCACACATCTACTCGTTGTTCTTACGTGAAAGTGCAGAGTTCTCAAATATTCTCACATGTATAGTGGTGTTCGTGCGGTGTGCGTTCTGTCCTCAGCGTCACCTGAGCTCTTTCTGTTTGCCTTTTCATCCACAACCTCCCAGAGAAGGTGTCAACTAAATAAAAACGCCTATTCTAAGCTTGAAAAACACCTTGTGCTGGTTGCTGAGTGTAAGCAGCTTACATGTTGTTATTTATTTCTAGTTCGTTCGAAGAAAGAAACTATATGTATGTGAAGGAAAGGTGTTAAGGTTTTGAGGTGAATTGGGATCTAGAGTTTCCTGTACTTTTATTTCACCAATTTTTGAAAAAAAATCTACTAAGAATCGTTTATCGTTCCCTTTGTCACGTCGAATGAAAGCAAGCACCATATGTGCCATAGATGTTATCGTAATCGCCTACACTTTTTTCTTCATTTTCTCTTGATTGATTTATCAGCGTTCGACGTTATACACGAGTAGTCCTCGGTGCCCAAAACGAATGAATTTTACATCCACAAGATGTAACCTATCTCCAGACTGCCATGGTTGTTGTCGACTCGTTGCGCAGTTTTTTTCCTCACCCTGTATCCTGTGTTATCCCTCCGGCCTCTAAGACGTGCAGTAGTCATCGTAATAGGCACAGTGCACTCTAGTAGTTCTGTCCAGATTGAGTCGTTGCCCTCCAAACATATTTTCAACCATTCATTGTGTTAAAGTTGTCAGAATTTTTGCCAGCTTACAAGAAAAAAGGCTAAAATCTTGCGTTAGTGATTAAGGAAAAAACGGTACCCAAAGGGTGATCAAAAGTAGTTGAGGAACAAGTGCTAGCTTTTTGGCAATATTACTCAAGCTTGCGCTTCTTTTTCAAAACACTTGTTTGAATTCTTATATCAGTGCTTCATAACCCCCTTGAATAATTGTGCTTATCAGATGCATCGAGAATAATATCCTACTCCACATCAGAATATGAACGTACTTTTATAGTTAGGGTAATAAAGGATGAAGAGGAAAGCGTTTGGTGTTGATCAGTCAAGACATACGCCAGATATGCATTCAATCACCCCCAAGATGTTACGAGTGGAGTCGAACTTATAGCGCATCCTCATTAGAAGATGATCAACGCCTAGGGCTTTCTCCTTTATTCCTCTAGTTATTTTGCATCTTAGGTGAATCCGAATGAATGTGCTACAAGTTTATTGGTGAATATTAATCTAGGCTCCCATGGATTTTTGGTCTTATGAAAATTAGAAGAGATTTTACAGACTGGACTTTAGGCAATACATTGACTAAATGTTTTTCAAATCCAATTGCCTGCGAAGCTCAATATGGCTTACGGAATAACTGAGAACCACGTATAAATCATGATCCGCATAATATCAGATGGCGCGTCTGGTGTAGCATTCCCATAGATATAAAAATTAGCTTTCCTGACTACCAGGGATCGAAGCTTAAGGAACTGAGCATTAAAAAAGATTCTCAAAATAATATAGCGGTTCGTTTGCTGTAGTTGTAAATGTGAAGGCGAAAGTGTTTCTGTATTAAGGGAAATGAATTCGCCCACATCGAAATGTTGCCGTATCAACAGCAGCTCAACTATGACGCTACTTTTCCTAAGTTCCGCCTCATCGATGGTGCTACCGTACGGGAAGGACGGCTTCAGGCACTGTTCAGAGATAGATGGCGATCCGTATGCACCATGGTCACGAAGTACGTGAACCACATTGACTTTTATTATTGTCTTTATTTAGAAGAATAAGATAACTTTATTCATATAGTACTTTAACTTCTAGTAATAGTAAAATATAGTAAAACTTATAGTAATCACTTTAATCATATAGTATTCTCAGTACTGTTGCAAATTAACTGGAAATTACCGGGGAATTTGATGTTGGGAGGAAATGTTATAATCGTTGTCCTTGTCCTTTACTGCTGAGCACTTAAATTTGAAGTTTCTTCGTATTTTCTAGCTGGACGAGCATAGACACTTCAACGGCTTGCCGGTCCATGGGCTACAACGATGGAGGTGAGGTCTTTCCGCTACTTTTACAGCTGATGTAAATTTGTGCTTTCGATGGGCTTTGCCTCTTGTTCTTATCACCATATACATTGAACATAGCGATTTATCTTAACTCTTTTATTTACTGCCTTTTTCTTCTTAATGGCAGGTTATGTTGCGAAATATAACCCGGATGGTGTAGTGGTGAAGTGCGCTGCTCCCCGGTAAGGACAACAGCGCGTGTTCGTTCTCCACTGCATACACCTGTGGTCCGGAGTTTTGCAAATATCTCAGCATTTCATACAAGTTATATAGCGATTTATTTCAAAAGCTTTTAACTAAGTCTTCATTACTAAGAACTTTCATTTTTTCGAACATTTTCTTCAACCTTAAAAGTACTTCCCATTTGATTCCCGACGCATTTTTTCACCGTCTTTTTGGTTTAAACAACTTTTTTGGTTTTTTGGCAAATGAAAAATCCTTTCCAGGATTCCACAAGTGGTACCGGCGCAACAACGATACGTACCCATTCGTGCTTCCACGCCCTGATTGTCATCCAGGAGCCAGCTCCCTGTGGGATTGCCCAGGGTTGGCTGATCCGAATGCAATTCGTCTCAGCGAGAACCTCTGTCAAGGAGAGGACGACCTGGGTCTCATCTGTTGGGGACAGCCAACATTCCAAGGATGGGCTCGACATTGGAAAGGTTACCCAGCTACCTCGATTCTTTTTTTTTCTCCTTAGTTTTCCGTTGTGTGTAGGTTGTTGATTACCGCTTTGTGGAATTTTCATCAAAAAGCACACTTAGGAAAATGAAGGGGTCTAAGGTGAGGTCTAGTCAAGAATCACCTTTCTTTGTGCAGTTATCGACTGAATGTCTAAGAACTCATTTCTTGGATCCTTGACAGTTTTTCAACGCACTGGTAATCAAATAGTTATCACACATATTCTAATTGTGGATTAAACATTTCGCAGTAATTTTTGAAAAACGAAGCCCGAATTGTTGAATATCTCCCCATGCTGTTGGGGCATTTCCATTTTTCACAAATTTAGCTCGCCGATTTCTGGCTCAAAGGTTCTCTTTGTAAAATTTTTGGAAGCCATTCTAAGCGATCATATCGGCATCTCAATCTTCACATGGGTAACGTCGTTGGGCTTGCCTAATGCCATTCACGTCATCAATTTCTGTGTCACTTGCCCTTCTTTTTTTTTCTTAGATTTCATTACAATCCCAATCCTTCTTGTCTTCAAGTATTATGATTGTTCTCATTTCTTCTCCGATTTGTGCTAGCATCTCCAGTCTATAAGCAGCAGCTGTCTTTAGAGAAAATGACCATTTCTGAGAATGGCAAAAGGAGCTTTAAAACGATTCGCTTATTTGCGGCTCTTATAGCGCAGTAATTAGAGGTGCCCTGTAACAGAAACGTGGTTGTTGGTTCGACTCTGTGTGCTATGGTAACCAGGCACTTTCCCACTCTTTCTGCGCTGGCAAATTGTTGCTAAAATTGCCTGGAAAGATAAAGACATTCACCTAACACAACCACAAGGATGATGAAATATGAGCAAAAGTAGTGAGCCCAGGTGCGCTTCGAACCGGCGACTACCCTTGCCGGGGCTCATGTGCTATCCACCTCACCAGCTGAGGACCTAGATCTAACTTTCTTTCAACCGTGTCTTTATTCTGTCGGTGCTACCAGCTATCAACCGTCATCGGGAATGATTTGGTGAACACAAATCGGTATTGAACCCAGTTCAGTTGAAGCTGCAGTCTAAATCACAATGCTTTAAATTTTATGTATTACCTCTTCTTTTTGCATGACAGCATACTACATGAAATACAACGAAAAGGTTGCTGGGATATGGGCAAAACTTGAAACATCGGGTGGGCTTCTGATCTCTGATGGAAAAATAGGTAGTAAATAAAAGTTAAAGCACAGTACATTGTTAGGATTCTGCAATCCAATGTATCAGCTAAACATATATACAATCACTTCTACATGGAGTTGAGTGCATAGCGAACCCCTAAGGGATCTGTCAACGACGACGCTGTGTTCTCTAACGCTTGTATCCGATATGTCGAGTAATTGATTTCTTATTATACTACTCGGATGAGCGATCTAATTTATAACAACTGTTAAGGAGAACTCTCGCCTTCATAACCGATAGGAATTCTTCAGGAGTTCAAATCTTCAATTCTCTCTACACTTACGTGAGTGCTGATCCCGACCATGTGGCTGTGCAGAAGGAGTCGTTAAGTCGAATGGAATTTGTTGATATACTCTACGCTGGATACGACGGGTCGGTGGAACTCTGCTGACGACGTTTTGTTCTTCCAATTGTTTTTTCTTATTTGATCGCGCAACAGCTCGTTTTTATCCTACGATTTTATAAATTCATAAGATTCTGTAAACATTATTTTCACTGGACTACCAGAAATTGTTGGAAGTAACGTGAATTTCTAGTGCGTCCACGGTAGTTGCGCGTGTGGAAATTATCGGGACATGTTGCTTACAAATAAATGGCACAGAGAGCGGGATGCAAAGAGGCCGTTGTAGCCACCAAGTATGAAAGCCTTCGGGAAGTGGAATCATTTACTCGTACTCAGTGATCTTCTAGTAAAGCTGCATTATGTGTTTTTGAATGCCAGTTTACTTATTTTATCTAATTAGTGGTAGCACCGCGAATAAGCGATATTGGACACTTTAGCTGCTTATGTGAAATTCGTAATGGTCGTGAAAAAGCATTTTTCATAATTACCTTTATATAAGTCGATTTTGATTAATTGAAGCTATAATTTCACAGAAACAACATCGTTTAGTCATTATACATCGCTTATACATCACACCACTTGTAATTATAGTTCCGTTCATTTAAGGTCTACAAAGAACACCACGGCCGCGTTGTGGATAGAGGGCGTAGCTCCGCTTATGAACGGTATTCGAGTGGAACGCAGCGCCAGGGATGGATTGTACATCTATGAACCCTCCGGTCATCACCTCACCACGATTCCATCCTCGGTAATGTCATAAAAATAGAATTTCAGGACCGGTGCTGATTGCGAACTCGACGTTTTCCTGGAATCGAGGTCACGGCATCGTTGTCGACAACACTACTGACGGTCGCGTATTCATAAATATGACACGGGTCGAAAACAACTACGGTGACGGAGTCTGGTATCGACAGAAGAGCGGATCGAACCTACTACAGGAAGAAACAAGTGCTGCGTTTCTTAGCCACTTCTATGTATTATTTCCTTTCCCCCTCAATTGCGTATTCACTGTTCCTGCTTTTCCTCACTGACAAACACGAGATTGGTATTATAACATTTATAAAACACATAAATTTAATCTTTAAGCGCACAATAGCCTAAATTTCGGCGGTTTCGCCTTCTTAGGAGCCTGGAAAGGTCAAATTGACATGCGATCAACTCACCCAAACACTTTCATGACCTCGACAGACAAAACTGTACACATGAGTTTTCATCCGCATAATAAATAGCCTCTTTCATGCCTCCACCATTTTGTTCGTTCTAGGTTTTCCAGTTAATTGGTGGAAGACAGTCGCACAGAGTATTGCATGGGCGACGAATGTGCCTGGCTCAAGTCATAGAATCAGCCTGAAGTATGGCGCTAGGTCAGGTCACAAGTCACTCCTTGCTGTTCATTTTTGGATTTTTGAAATCAATTCAAAACGTTCCAAGACTTTTGCGCGCTGATGTTTCGGATTCCTTTGCGAGGACAGTGATTAAATTTATGTGTTTTATCTTTGGTGAGGTTACGAAAGTGTTTGGCTGAGTAGATTTTATGTCAGTTTGACCTTTCTAGCCTCTGAAGAAGACGAGACCGAGGAGACGTCAGCCATTGTACGCTAATTAATGCAAAAATACCAACTTCGTATTTGCTCATTGAAGCAAAGAGTGAAATAATGATCAATGCCGAAGTTAGTAGAAAGTCGATTTGAGGACATTTGCCTTTGGAATAGGATGACGAATTTGGAAGTCATAGTGTTCAAACTTTATTTATTACCTATTCTTCTTTCATGGCAGCGTACGATGTGTAAAACACCTACAACCAGCAACCCACAAGACAGCTGTGGTGTGAGCAAAACTCGGAATCTCAATTGTGCTTCAAGCTAGCGACTACCCTTTTCTGGGGTTGACGGGCCATCCACCATACCAACCGAGACCCTTGCTCTTCCTTTCTTTTTGTTCGCATCTCAATATCCTTTGTGGTATTGTTACGTATTCTCCCAACGGTTTACCTCATCGTGGGTGGGAGGTGTTCCTGGGTGTCGGACTGCGATGTACAGCGTGGAAATTCGTCTATCGGCAGGGCCTCCCAAGCTGAGAAAGAGTCCGACGTTCCCATTAGGAAGCCTAACTAAGAGTAAATCAATACCGCGATCCACCACCGTCCTGGCATCAAAGTCGCATAGTGGTAAATCTCTCTCTAATCCACAAGGTGTGCGACTGCCTGTGGTGGTGAAGACCTGTGGCAGACTTTGGCCAGGCCGACCTCGGGATTTCAGGAAACCATAATGGCTTAACCACCAAACCTCCGAAAGATGGAGACTGTACTGGGCCTCGCACAATCAGTGAGGACGGACCATTCAAGAGTCAAGTAGGTAAGTATTACACATCGTACCAAACCATGGAAAGAGAATAGCCAGTAAATATAACTTAAACATTATGATTTCGAGCGCAGCTCAAACTTAAATTAGTCCAATGACGATTTCACAGATCATTCTCGTATACAGGTGATTGCTTGTGATGCCATTGGAGTGAAAAAAACAGGCTGAGAGGAACGCAAACAAGATTCTCCACTGATGTGGTGTATAGCGTGTCAGCCCCGGGAAGCGTAATTGCGAAGCTTACCTAGACTTCCGAGTTTTGCTCATAACTCAGCGTCCTTGCAATTTCGACGTGTTCAGCGAATTCTGAGATGTATATAGTGCATATCGAAACGTCTTGAATGCTTGAAAAAAATTGGGAATGAAAATGGTTTTTAAGGCGTCAAAATGGAAACATCCGTTTCAAACTTCCAAGGAATTGGGCGGAATTAATGATTGATATCTATCCTACGATTTTAACATTTTCAGGAATTAAACGAGACATGGGATTCTTCGCCGAGGAAAAGCCCCGAGCAGATATTTGCCGGCAGCACTCATTACCAGCGCAGTTTTTCTTCCCCCATCTTCTAGTGGCTCAACTGCGTAACGGCACTCTCTACGATCCTTTGAAGCCACCATCATGCTGGATTGTAAGTTATTGGTGTAGATTCAAGCAGTATTTCTGCACGGATACTTGAAAATTCATATGAAACTTAGAGAATTGGGACGTAGAGCTTTGGAATTTAAGAGATAGTCAAAGGAGGAATAGAATACAGCGTCTGTGAAAGAAGGTGAGGTTAAAATGAGAGAAATAACTTGCGAGGATCATACTTAGGTAAAAGGGAGGCGACTGTTGTCGGACCCACGTTTGGAAAAGAAACACTAGCATCTTCTTTGCAATCCGTTTTATATGATAACGGTTGTTTAAAAATCCATTCAACCACCACAATGTGTATTACATGCAATGCCGTTGACCTCCGAGTGACTCGAATGCCCATCATTGAAGTTTGCGCTCTTCTCTCTCGCCTATCTGAGCTACCTAAAAAGCTCCGTCGGCTCTAATGGGACGGAAACCAACAAATCTCGCTTGAGATCATCTGTTTTCAATGTTTTTGGTGAAAACTGGTTACAGATAGCCTCTACAGCTCTGTCATAACATAGCTGTATTCTTGACTGGACTTTCGAATGGAAGGATCGCATTTTTTCTTACTTTGAGTGACCATGCCAGAGGTGACCTTCTGGTGCACCCTACAGTGCGGCACCTAATAGCACCTTTTTGTCACGGTGATTGGCTAGACCATAAAGTTGGAAATACGTGTAAGAAGGTATTTCAACAACTCGAAACCTTTGTGAGAAATCGTACTTTAAGATTCATTTATTTCCTTTAAAAAGTGCTTCATCGTTGTCATAAGTGAGTGCAACTACATTTAACAAAGCAATCAATGGGAATTTTCATTTTTCGTAACACTTTGTTATGCACTAAGTTACATAATATATTTTCTTCATCTTTCTTTCCTACTCAAACTTCGGGACTCTTAATAAACAATCTAAAGATCACAGGAGTTCACTGTAAAGAACGAAGACTAACCCGGCATAACGTAGGGGCAGTTTTAGGTTTGGATGGAGGAAGCTCATAGCACTTAGCATTGAAATACTGAGCGTTGAAAGCATTTTCGAAAGAACTCGAACCAACTGATCATAAATCACACTTGATTCTAGATTCTCGATAACAAAAAGGGTTTCACAAAGGACTCGCTACAATGGACTATATCTGTCCGATAACAAGACGCAGTGAAGTATCGCGAGAGTGTAGCAGTTCGCTCTGTCTCACATCGATTTTCAGAAGGCTTTTGACTCCGGCAATAAACAAGCAGTTGTGGAAGCCCTGAATAGCTGTGGCATCCCTATTCAGTATATGAAAATTCTTCGTGAATTGTATAAAAATTTCACAGCTAAAATATCACCATTCTATAACGATATTAATATCGATGTCATAAAAGGAGTTAGGCAAGGCGATACCATCTCGCGAAAGCCATTTACCGCCATCCTCGAGAACCTCATGGAAACACTGGAATGGGACAAAATGAGGGTGAAAATCGATGGACGGGAATTACACTATTTTTGCCTTGCTAGTGACATCATTCTTATAACATCGAGCATTAGCCAAGCGGAACGAATGCTTGCCGACTTTGATAAAGTCTGTGGAAAGATTAATCTTCGACTAAATCTCACAAAAACGATGTTCATGAGGAACGGATTGGTTTCGCATGTCCCATTCACGCTCAACGGAACGAATATCTTCGAGCGCTCTAGTCATCGGTAAAGCAGCATCATGAACGACCGACTTAGCTCAAGAGTTGAGCAGGAGGAAACGAACTATGTGGAGGCCTTTCAAGACCATCGAGGATGCAATGAGGGAAACAAAAAAAACACTCGACTCCGTGCCCTTCTTTTCGACTCTACGATGCTTCCTGCCTCAGCGCATGCGTCAGAAACCTGGTCGCTAGGTAAGCAGGATGAAATATCAGTCAGCCTTACTGAATACGCAGTCGAAAGGACGATGCTAGTAGGATCCCGTGTCACAAACTAAGAGAAGGGATCCGAAGTTCCTCCTCCCCCCATGTCAACGACCAGAAATCAAAGACACCGACTGCTGGAAGACCACATACGTGATGTCAGCGTCTTTCACAACAACCCTAGAAGAATGACATGATGCACAAGGAGTTTGAGCGAGCAGAACCCACCGGGCTACTCTGGCACGCGGCATAGAGAATTGGAATCAGCTCTGCTGGCATCCCCTCGAGTCACTCGAAGGCAAGGCAATAACGGGTAATATGCGTGAATTACTGATTAGTAGCTTGAATGGAGCTTCTTAAAACCAATGTTGTTAGGTAACTACAGGAAACAGTCTTTAGCAAAAGATGGAGCTATTGGATTTTTGACTATTTACTTTTCCCCATGTTTTAGGCTATCTTATTGCCACCACGTCTCGCTTACACGTATTCGCTGCAATTTTTAAATGTTCGAAATTTGAACCCATTGAGCATTTCGTCTGCTTCCTTGGTTGTCTGTGATGCCTCACAGGAGAGAAATGCTTGCGGATTAGAGCGATTTCGGATTCCGATTCTCAACGGCATTTATCCACAGACTGTCAGCTTAAGGTGAGTTACATGAGGAAAGCATCTGGCATGTTAGTTGGAACCGAAAGACAAATTTAATCTTCAAATGTCAAGTTGGACATTATAGGAGTGGAGTGAATCCATTGTTCATTTCTCTTGAATACCACCAGGAAGGACCCAGCGCCGGTTACGTGATTGGAGATGTTGAAGTACTCTTCAAGGTTCATGCAAGTGTGACTGGTAAGTCTGTTTATCGTCATATTATGGTAATGCTGAGCGTATAGCTCTAGCTGTTCAGCTACGGAAAGGTATCTATTTTTACCAAAGGCCGAACTGGTATTATTCTTAACGCTTTTGAGACACATTAGTTTCCAAGGAAAGCTGTAATTTTTGCATTTCTAGTACAGTATCACAATATTGACACATTGTTTCAACGATTGTTAACTCTGCTAGCGATTCCCTTCCAGAAAAGGCCTTTTATGGCCTTAATATTACGAACTCGATCATCAGCAACAATATCGGCAACGGAATCTTCAGTCGTGACATCCGTGAGCGCACAGCGTTGTCCAACGTGACGCTAAATCTGAATCAAGGGATCGCTGGTTTTCTCGTGAAGGTCGTTTTATGACAGTCCTTTAACACAATATTGAGAAAAGGCGAAACGAAGGATCCGCATGGTGTGGTGGTGAACGCGTTACTCCCCGGAAAGGACAATAGCGCGTTGGTTCCCCACCGCAGACATCTGCGGTCCGGAGTTTTGCAAATATCTCAGCATTATAGTAGTTATATTTCGCAAAATACCCTGCCGTTAAAAAGAATGGGTAGTAAATAAAAAAAGGTTAAGATTGTGACTATAACTATAGCCTCAGCTTAACTGGGTTCAATGCCGATTTGTGCTCTCCAGATCAATCCTGTTGACGGGCGATTGCTGATGGCAAAAGATCGATAGAACTAGTCGAGAGACAGGCAAAGCAAAGGAGCCGCATGGTGTGGTGGTGAACGCGTTACTCCCCGGAAAGGACAATAGCGCGTTCGTTCCTCACCGCAGACACCTACGCTCCGGAGTTTTGCAAATATCTCACCATTATAGTAACAACATTGAGATTTATCCTTCCACGTTATAACTAGTCGGGTTCATCTCTTCAACATAATTCTTATTTCAGCAAAAAGTTTCTTTAATAACCAATCATTTTGCTGTTACGTATTCTTTTCTCACTTTTGTTTTGGTTAGGATGAGACTAGGAAAGTGCCCTATATCCAATTCTTTTGCTTCTAGACAACAAAACTAAAAAAATAAAGCAGTGTCTGCAAAATTATTTTGTCATAATTCTTTCTACTTTTGTTCAGCAAACACGAGGTGTTATCTATGTGCAACGCAAAATTGCATAATATCTCTTGAAAAGTGTGCGGGGACGAATACGTAGGCGAAACGGGTAGACCACTCTGCGTACGTATTAAAGGACACCTAGTCGGCAAACGTAAACCAAATACTCCACTAGGCGCGCATAGGACGCAGAGACAAAGGAGATTTTGAAGTATGGGCTACGATCATCGCACAGGAATCGAGAACAAAAGCGCGCAAAACTCTAGAGTCATTCTGGATTAATTCCAAGAATCCGAAAATGAACCGCTGGGAGGAATGCCTCATTATCACCCGTGATATTGGGCAATATATAAGCCTGTTATTTTGATGAGATGGGCAAAATACGATTCCGTGTGAACTCTGCGCGGTTGGTCTCCACGTAACATATTTAGTGGAAGACTCATAGAAAGCGGTGGGTGGGCAAAGAATCTGTGTTCAATGTGATTGAAATTTTGGTTCATCATTTTCTCTGTTTGGTTATGGAGATGTTTGGCCGTGTAGATTGCAGTCAACTTGACCCTTCCAGGCTCTGAGGAAGGCGAAATCCGCCGAAACGTCAGCTTGTATGTAAATAAAGAAATAAAATAATACCTCGTGTTTGCTGAACAGAAGTAGGAAGAATTATTCAATCAATGCCGAGGTTAATAGAAAGTCGGACGTGGGAGTTATTTTTCATAATTCCAGGATGGAGCTGCTGATATCTGGGTGAATGACACAAGGATTCGAGAGAATTGGGGCGATGGCTTGAATATAAGCTATGCTGGAGGAGCGATTACTGTAAACGGCACGCGATTAGAAAGAAATCGATGGAGAGGCCAGTTTTCAGAATTGTGAAGGGACTAACAAGTGTGACGTGCATGTACTAAAGACCTGGCCATAAACACCATTCTCAGATAGTTCTAAATTATGAGGTGGTTTCGTCTCAAAGGAATAGGCGGCTCTCATTTGCTTTTTTTGAATACAGATGAGAGATTGAGATGGGATTAAAACTACTTACTTCAACCGTATTTACTCTGAATATATAGTGGAGCCTGCCCTTTCTGTCAATGCATAACTTCAGTGGTGATAGCAATGTGGCCAGTGCTTATTTATATGTCGAACTTTACTGTAACTGCGCAAGAAGCGCGATAGAGAAAGCTCGCCGTGATGAAATGATTCCTTACAAGGTTCAACAGATGAAAATCTAGTTATCCTAGTAGCACAAATGGTGTAGCCTTACCCGTCTAACTTTACTACGTTGATGAACAAGCCTCGACGTCTATGGTGGCTGTTCTTTTTGCCTTGAAAGTCACAGTTGTAGGTGCCGCATTCCATTTCAACGATAGTTCTCCATTCTTTGCTCTTCATCAGGAGATTGTGTTCAAAGGTCGGCCGTCAAACAACATCTTCTATCTTCCGACAATCGTCGCTGAAAACAAATGGGGCGGTGTGCTTGTGGGAAATTTCTGCCTACCAGTGTATAGAAACGTCGAGCCAAAGGTACCACGCGATCATGCTGGGGATACCCCCATTTTTTGCCTTTTATATCGTATAAGGTGTCAGAACGGATATCGCTAGCCTTCGACTACACATACTCAGTTCTGATGTTCAAGCATAGTGCTTCACGGTGAGTTGGTCACAAGTTTCAGGTGCTGATCAATTGGGTGGAGTTTCTAGGCAACTCGTATCACCCCGCTGTAGAGATCCATTCGTGTCAAAGTCATGGCGTGGCTCGAACTGTCATTGACGTAACAGGAAACAGAATCGAAGGTGCGTGAAAAATAATATCTCCTAGTGAAACAAATTAGACAATGATAGCAATAAGGACTGAATTTTAAAGTATTGGTTTCTTTCTTTCATAAATTTAAATTCTCATTATTTTCGAGCCATTCCAGAACATCTTTCGGTTATAATGCCCAACGAAGAGCTCCAGCTTAGATTTGCTTTATCTTCGTTTTTAACGCTACTCTTGTTACGGTGGAAGACAATGATTTTTCTGGCACTGCGAATCTTTTTTTTTATTTCGGAGGAGGTAAGAAGGTATCGCAGTAGTTAGTGACCCTGGCCATCCATCAGGTACCACGGTGATGGTATGGACACCTCTCCAACATCGTCTTTTCAGTCCACGTGGAAGCGAGTGCCCTAGCTCGTGCATCTCCAAGATTGCAGGGGGAATAATCGACTGGACCGGCTCCCTACCATATTCATAAAAAAGACGAGTTTTTTAAAGAGCAGCCGAAACAAGATGCGAAATGTTCGAAGACCATTGTGGAAGATGGATGAGAGGAAAACGAATTGAATGCAAGAAGCCCTGGGATCCGCACAGTAGATGTGAAAGACAAAACATGTATAACAGAAGTAGTGAATAAATATGAACTTTTAATAACCGTAAACAACTTAGTCCTAATGTTTAACTTTTTATTTACTGCTTACTTTTTTTTTCATGGAAGAGTATCGTGTGAAATACAACCACAATGATGGTTAGATATTTGCAAAACTCGGAAACCCAGGTGCGCTTCGAATCTGCGATTACTCCTTCCAGCTCGCAGATTCGCGTGTTACCCACTGTACCGCAGTGTCTCTTGATTTGCCTCTCTCTTGGCCAATCTTTTACTCTGTCCATGCTGTTAGTAATCACTGGTCAACAGGAATGATCTGGGAATCACAAATCGCCATTGAAACCAGTTAAGCTGAAGTTGCAGTGTAAATCACGAGCTCAGAGTTTTGCAAATAGCATCACCGCGGTTGTATTTGAGATAACCTGTTCTAAATTCCTTTGCGGCGTTATTGCGTGTGCAGTACATTGGTTAGAGCATCAGTGCAATACCCATGTGGGAGTTGGTTCGATCCCATACGCAGAACTCACTCAACTTTCCATTTCTCTGGGGACGGTAAATTGGTGCCAGATTCCTGTGGGAGGATAGCAGCAACATCTTGATACACCAACACACCACCGCGAGTTGTTGCTTGGCCAAATATGCATTCAGCCACCTCTAGTGTGATGCATAATGATGTCGAATGCATCTCACAATGATTATTCAACATCGAGATCTTTATCCTTTATCATTTCTGTTGTGGTGTTATGTAAAAGTAAAATTGGCGGCTTGACCCCTCTGTATTAGTAAGCTCATCTAAAAATAGTGAATAGCTATCAATAGATACCTAAATTACATAAGTCGGGTGAAGCACGATTATACCTGCCAAATTAGAACCACTAAAATTGCTTATTCATTCCGTTATTGGGGAAATCCGCAGTTAGGAAGCGGCGAATCTTCGATAAACATTCTTAACAGCGGCTAGATTGTTGAAGAACTCTTCTTGGGAGTACTTTTCGAGGTGTTTGAAAAAGTAGTGGTTGGTTGACGGCAAGTCTGAAGAGTACGTTGGATGAGATAGAACTTCGTAGCCCAATCTGTTCAATTTCTACAGGATTTGCTGTGCAATCTATGGAAAGCTGTTGTATCTGTTGTACTGGAGGAAAGTTGGATCTTCTCTTTCGACGTTTGCTCGATGCAAAGATTCAAATTTTAAAAGGATTTTATCCATTTAATAACAGCATTTCTTGCTGCATCTTTTCCAGCGTTCAGAATACCGTGTACCATTCATGGGGCAGCGAACCACCACACTGTCACCATTGCTTTCTCTTGACGGAAATCCGCCTATGGGAGGGGTTCAGGAGTTTCAGATCGGTTCAACCGCTGAACTGCGCATATGTCGTCGATTATCGTATGAAATCTACTTTTCAACAATATATTCTGGAAGCATGTCATCTTTACTCAGAATAAAGGTAAGCCTCGTAGCCACGACTTTTCCTCGCAATCGTTCGATTTATGTGGCACTTAGCTGACGATTTTGTTCACACTTCCACTGTTGCCGTACCAGGAACGATCGTTGACTGGTCAAGGGCACTTTCGAATATTAAATTCAGACGGTCTTTATCAACTTCTGGTGAGCTCTTTCGACGTTCCTCGTCATGAAGTTCATATCTTTGGTGTGAAAGTTTAACGATCATCAGCTTATTGTTCATCTTCGTTACGCCTTCTTTATTCGACGATCTCATTACATGTACAGTTTCCATCGTTGCTTCATGTCGAAGTTTGAATCTATGAAGGAGCATCATCGAACAAAAAGCTGCAAAATGATGTGGAAAGACAACACAAAAAATATTTTCTAGAAAGTGGTTTTTCTAAGCTCATGACGAAAAAATCTAATTGATTTTCAATCAATCTATTATTTATCGTCTAGCCAGTGGAAGAAAATGAGGAAAAATTAGCTAACCTTTTGTTCGCTGCCTAGTACAATTTTTTACGGTAGGATATTATGTGAAATACAAGCATCATGATACTGAGATATTTGCAAAACTCCGGATCGTGGGTGTCTGCGGTGGGGAACGAACGCGCTATTACCTTTTCCGGGGAGTAACGCGTTCACCACCACACCATGTGGGTCCTTCCTTTTGCATCTGTCTCAGCTAGTTTGGTTTAACTTAGTCTCAACTCAGAGTGGTGGTTTGACTCACCTCGCTGTAGCGAATAAGAGGATTATTCAAGGCAACACCGGGATGGGATTCCGTGTAGCGCCGCTGGTGAACGTGCTGGCCTTTGTGAACAGCAATCAGTTTCTGAACAACAACGACACCGCTCTCTTCATAAGGAATGCCGACCAGCCCCAACTGTGGTCGTTAGGAGCAAACGTAAGTTGTTAATCAGATGGAAGGACAAGTGAGAGATTACTTTGTGATCTAGCTCAATGTGGGCTGACGTGGTCTAAACTCATTTATTTTTATCATTTATATTTTTGCTTCCTAACTTACCAAACAGAGATCGTATAAATCTGAGTGCAACTGACCAGAATTTGTACAGAACTATGGGAAGTTGTAGATATTCGGATGTATGGGAATCGCCCTGAATGGACTAGCTTTTATGAGATCTCCAGCTTCACATAGCGTTTTGTATTTGATGATTAAATTATCCTTAGACTTAGAAAATGCTAAAACCAATCAGGATTGGTGTTGAAAATGGAAACATTGAGGTTATATTCTTATACCGTCATCGCCATTAAGAGAAACTGCTTTTCGTGATTTAGAATGGGTATAGGACTGAGCAAGGTAGAGCAGGACCAACGGAAAGTAGGGCAAATTGTTGAGAAACTAAGTCGTTCCAAAATAAGTGATTAGCTAAAACCTTCTCTTCAGGTCACGATTTCGAAAAACGCGTTCAAATTCAATCGAGGAAAAAGCATTATTTCCATTGGCCTAAATGAAGATGCACCGGCTCAACATCTGATTTTCAATCAGCAAAATGAGGTACGTGCAAGTCGTGTGGTCATCCAAAATTGGAGGTCTGGAGTTATTTTTTCTTCTTTCTTCTTCTTGAAAGCAATGAGCACACGATTTTTTGCAATATTAATTCCCAGGTATATTCCCTGATATCACAGATATTCCCAGATGTTTTTTGGATGAGCAATACTGAAGTACTGTGCAATATTAATTCCTAGAAATATGGATATTCCCAGACATCTCTTCCATCATTCGTCCCTATCAGTCCCTGACAATTGTGAGTCACAACGCCCTTCACCACGGTTTACCGCTAAGTTTTGTCTTGGCCGTGAATGAGTTTCCGACATTGACTTACAGTTAGCTTACCTTTCTAACGGAGGTCTTAAATTTCTACAAAGTTTGCTTGATCTTATTAGGGGATTAACATATTGCTGAACAGCTACTGTGGTCATGTTAAAACGAAAATTTATAGGGAAGGTTATTCATTTACAGTAAGAAAGATATTTAGACGAAAGGGCTGTGCTGATATCAAGCAGGACATAATAAGTGTTACAAAAGCCCTCGTTGATCAATCGCTGAGGGATGCGCCGTGCATTTGACTTCACTAAGAACCGTTAGAGGTGACTGAATGCATTTTTGATCTTTGCAATGGCTCGTAGTGGCTTACTGATGTATCGAGCCAGTGCTGCTATCCTCCCAGACAAGTCCGGCACCAATTTGCCGACGCCAGAGGGATGGAAGGCTCGGTAAGCCACGAGCGCGAGATCCATCCCATGTGTATTGCAGGGCATTTTCCACCATTGCGCTAAACGGGCCCAGCACGGCATAATATCATTTAAAAAGGGACAAACTTCCAAGTCAATGGAGCATCGCTAGAAATCCAATTCTATACAAAGCTGCGAAATTTACATTCTATCGCTAGTTATTTTTGCATTCCATCCTCGTTTTTATTCTAGTCTCTTCGCTGATTATTTTAAATTTTATTCCCTTCACAACCCAGCATTACATATTTTGTTCATCGCAACACTGCTTCATTCGCTTCCTTGTCTTGCATTCGTTATCCATGAGGGTCTTCTGATTCGCCTGTGGATTCCGCTGCTACCAGAGGATTTCGTTTAGATAATAAATATCGTCTAATGCTGGTTATGTTGATTCTTCCTAAATCTCTAGATAGCTCTGCTAAAGCGTTTTCACGTCGTCGTCAAAGGGACGCTCTAACTCTCTCAGCTCGAAGAAAAGCGAGAATTTGTCGAAGTGGTATCAAGTTCCTGAGGTTGTTTATAATTATTGGACCAATTAACGCTGTGCGGCGATACACACGATTTGTGAAGACGAGTGATCTAAAATTTTTTTTTAATTTTTATTTTCATGTAACCTTTCTTCACGTCTACTCTGCGGATCCCAGCACTTCTCACATATGATTCATTTCCTTGCATGCATTATCCATGAAAGACCTCCAACTATTACGTGTGGCTTCGGCTACTTCGCCTACTGCTTGGGGATTTTTCATTTCATCTTGAATATTGTAGAATGCTGGTCGAGTGACTCTCTCTCCCTGGAGTCCTGAGATATCCGGGCTGGAGCGTTCCTGATTGGATTTCAGAGAGTGATTTTTTTCCAGACATCTCCGGTACCAATTTCCCGACCGCTTAGGGGTGAGAGGCTTGGTTGGCCCAGAGCGAAATCGAAGTAGTACCATGCTCGTGATGACGAGCCTCACTAACACTGTACTATCTACCCCATGATCTAAAAATAAAGTGCAAATTTAGATCATTAGGAATGAAAGTCAATTAAATAACACCAGGCCACTTAACGCCAGTTGCCACTTAGAAGAAATGTTTCAACAGAATATTGCGATAATGTGGTAATTAAATATTCAAAGCATTTAACCAAAGTGGCTGTTTAGGTGCGTGAAAATGTTGTATTCAATCCGTACCCTGATCTGAGGCCGCGCTCGTCTCCCTACGCAGCGATGGTTGTCTCCAGCAGGTACTCTGGTTTCCTTCCGAGTTGATTGAATGCATACCTGGCCTTTACAATAAGTCGCAGTGGCCTACTGATGTATAACTGCTTCTATCCTCTCAGACAAGTCTGGTACCAGTTTATCGACTCCGGAGAGATGCAAGATTTCGTAAGTTTGGGGCGTGAGGTCAATCCCATTTGTATTGCAGGGCGCCTCTAAGCGCTGAGCTACACGCGCCCTTAGTAAAAAACGGATGGAACGGTGTATTCGCGAAAGTAAACCCTTTGTACTTCAGTAACGTCGTGATTCGTCGGAACTGCTTCAAAAATCCGAAAGCAGATTACGAGATTGGAGTCGAACTTACCGAGCACGCCAAGCGGATCGACGCAAAGGAGAATAACTGGGGATCGCCGATACCCGCGCAATTCATGAACAAGATCTTCGATCAGGTTAGCGAAACTACTCATGATGCGAATCATCGACGAGCTTTTGTATAAAAACGTGCATCGATCTCCTTTTTTATGCTGCTTTAAGGATGAAGAAGCTCTGAATGCGTAACTTTTTGAAATTTTTCTGATATGCAGGCTGATATTTCAGTTCAACCGGTATTCTCTAGCGGTGATTGAAGTGGATCCATATGCAGCCGTTTGCAACCAGAGGAATCCTCACATCACTTACCTGCAAGAATTCTTCCGTGAGTTCCGCAAGGACTCGCGGCCATTCGTGCTCGGTGGTGCCATCTATGAGAACCATGATTTGATTCCTGGCAGGTAATGAGTCCTTCAGTGTTTCCGGCGCTAATGAACAACTTTGAATTAACAATTCACGATAGTTATATATATGCAGGAAAAAGACTTCTTAAATCCTTACTTATTTTGCCCGAATGCTTATCATGCCTGCATACCTGACTGAATAGTCAGATAACCCGTTTTCATTGGTTGTGCGGGCCCGAACACAATTTCCATTCGTTTCCCTCTCTCGCAATCGCCATCCATGGTGGTGGTCTGCTTCGAACGTGATGATACCCGCGAGACCCAATCCGTAGTTCTGAAATGCTTCCCATCTTCGAGTGCAGATGATCGACGTTAGCCACGAACAAGTTCGCTCATCGTTTGGGAGTCTTCCTGCATGGGGCTTGCATTCCCCTGGAGTCCACTCCACTGTTTTTTTCGCTCAATTGACACCTGTTATCCTTACTATGTTACCGGCCCATATGTTTTTCGCTATCCATGTATATTCTTCTGGAGCTGTACGGGTGTACTGTGAATTTTTTAGAAGTACGAATATAAAGTTAAGAAGTTACTCGAACTTACTGCACATTCCTGTTGCAGACTTTACTTACTTAGTTGAATACTTGGATGGTCCGTCTTCAGTAGTTGTGCGTGCCCTAATATAATTTCCATTTTCAACCCAGGTCCTCACCAACACAGGCGGTCGTCAACCCTGTGGATCAGAGGGTGATTTGCCAACAAGCGACTAGCTTGACACCAGGACGGTGGTGGATCCTGGTGTGGTTTACTGTTAACTGAGCTTTCTGATGGAAATGCCGGAGTCTTTATCAGCTTGCGAGGCCATGCTGGGATGAATTCCCCCACTGTACATCAAACCTGGCCCCCAAGAACACCTTTCCGCCGCGATGAGACGGTAAACCATCGGGAGTTTGTAAACTTAACATGGAAAAACAGGAATTTTGCTTTACATACTCGAGTTCTTGTTTTCGGCCGTACTTGTTCGATAAAGATCTAGGTAAAATAACTTAAACTATTGATAATTATCCAGGTCTAATTTACTTCAGCTGTAGACAAGTGCTACTTATGACAATAAACAAGTGAAATTTGGCATAGAGAATTTAAGCACAGATAGATATTATTTTAGAAGCAGTAAGTAGATAACTGAAAAAATGGTCTTGCCCTTGTCTATAGGTATACTGTAGTGGACGATTTGCATGTGGTGCCTGGAGCTAAGCTGACAATAGCATCCGGATCAATCTTAGAATTTCACGATGGTGTAGGGATGTTGGTGCAGGTGGGTGGAATCGTCTTACATGTTAAAGCGATCGAGTCGATCAAAATCCAATTATGAATTCCATTCAAAATCAGTATTAAAATTAGGGAAGAAATACTTACGGCAACTTGAACATGTTGATTTTTTTGAGAAGAACAGAGTCGGACTGTGTATTATTGTATTGCTTTTTAATCAAGTATTTATTACCTCCGAATTTATCATTCTTCCTGTCAGTGAGCCTTTTCGGTGACAAAGGTTTTTGCTCATAGGAATCAAGCAGTAATATTTAACAGAACTATACAATACGAAGTTTGTTTTCAGGGAGAACTTTCCAGGACGGAGTTCTTCGCCCCAGACAAGCAAGTAGTCTTCACCAGTAAGCCATTCGTTTTACCCAAAAACAAGAACATTCGTCTGGTTGACGATGACGGGAACGATGAAGTGACGGAGGGCCGGCTCGAGGTCAGCGTTTTATTCGTAGCTTTAATTTTTACCCTTTCCATAATCTCCTGAAGTGGTTATTCCGTAATTCTTTCTTATTAATTCCTTTTTTCAATTCTTATTGCGTTTGTTGAACGTAAAAGCTGTAAATCTGGAAAGCACTTTATCCCAATAACTCAATAAACACTATGCTTTCCTAACTCTTTTATTTACTGCCTTTTTCTTCTTAATGGCAGGGTATGTTGCGAAATATAACTCCTATGTAATGCTGAGATATTTGCAAAACTCCGGACCGCAGGTGTATGCGCTGGGGGAACGAACACGCGCTGTTGTCCTTACCGGGGAGCAGCGCACTTCACCACCACACCATCCGGGTCCTTCGTTTTGCCTGTCTCTCAGCTAATTCTAGCTGATTATAACTAAGCCTCAGCTTAACTGGGTTCAATGCCGATTTCGGCTCCCCAGATCAATCCCGTTGACGGGTGATTGCTGATGGAAAAAAGATCGATAGAATTAGCTGAGAGACAGGGAAAACGATTGACCCAGATGGTGTGGTGGTGAAGTGCGGTGCTCACCGGTAACGGCAACAGCGCCTGTTCGTTCCCCACAGCATACACCTGCTGTCCGGAGTTTTGCAAATATCTCAGCATTACATGCTATGCTTTCCTTTTAACCCACTTATGAATGGGAGTGAAATTAAAAGATAACGCCACTACTTAATGGATTCCCAGGTTTTTGTCGATGGCGCTTGGGGCACGGTTTGTAACCGATCGTGGACTCCGAAGCTCGCTCAGCTTTCTTGTAACCAACTGGGCTTGGTAGCAGATCTTGAGTTCTTCGAAAATTGGAGGATTTTTCGCTCGAAAGGAGAGCTACCGATGGTCATGGACAATATTCGCTGCGAAGAAAACGAGGTATTTAGTTACGGCTATCTCCTAGTGTTAATCCGCTATTTCTTGAGTGACTCAATTTCATAGTATACAGATACTTTGAAGTGAGCGAGCACTTTAATTGTTAGGTGGGAATATGGAGCTATATTAGGCTCTAGTATTTGCCAGTGCTCACCAACAACCAGCATTGAAATATCGCTGAGTTTCCAGCGGTCATAACTAGAGAAAGTTGTGAAAAATACCTTCGACATGTCAAAAGTGTCCCTAACGCATTTTCAAACCGTTCTTCATAGAAAAACCAGCCACCGAGTTCCACCAGGGTGAAACGACCACTTAATATGAAATCGTACATGTGAGAAATTTTATGCAACGGCGGAAGAATTAGGATGATCCACGGAAGATTTGAGCATGACTACGGTAGTCCTGTACTAGTACACTTCCACGCAACCATGATATTGCCTTTTTTACTACTACATATTCCAACACCACATGTATTACATTTCGCGATCCCAACGCTTCCTTCATTTGATTTGTTTCCTCGCATCCACCATCCACGAAGTTGTTCCAATAAATCGTTTTGCGTGTGGGATCAGCTACTACTTGACCGTTTTTCATCATCGTCACGAATGTCATTAAATGTTTGTGGAGTCAATTCTCCATGGAATGCTGAGATAGCTGTGCTGGAGCGCTCACGCGTGGATGGAATGGTGTGAGCTTATCCAGGATAAGTTTGGTACCAATTTTCCGACTCCCGCGGAGATAAGTCTTGGTGAGCCCGCTGTGGATTTGAGCGAGTACCTGGCTGGTTTACGCAGTCCACGTAGTGAACTGGTTCACTTCCACTGCGCTATCTGCTCACTTGTCATGATGTTCGCATTTGAATTTACAGTATGACACTTGTGTTATAGGTTTATCCGGTCGTTGAGGAAGGAGGTAACTGATTCCATAATCGGTGTTTATAATCACCACTGCGGTTCTAGGCATGGGGAAGTTGTTCTAAGACTCACGCCTGAAAATGACTGCCCAGTCCGCTTCAGTGTGTCGTAAAGAATCCGTTAGTAGGTGCATATTACACCTGAGCTGGTCTCCTTGTAAGAAGCGAAATGGCAGTTGTTCATACGTGTTGTGGGGCTCCTATGTATATGCTTTACACCGTATCTTAACGTGTAAAAACTCGATGGACTCTGAAGAGTCATATTTCTTGCTACCTTTCTGATAATATACCTCGTTGTTCGCCGAATATTAAGATCCATCGTCGAAGCCTATTGCCATGGTGCCGTCTTCTAAACATTGCTCACCATCTCGGAAAATTTCAAGCAATCACCTAAACTCTAAAACAGGTGCTGCACCACTTCCAATGCTTCGTCCATGTTTTCAGCCATTTTTCTCTAATAGTGGTTCCTGTAACAGTGGCAGTGATGGCTTTCAATGCGAACAAGGCACTGGTTCTACCTCGCCCCAAGCCATCCAAGCATCCAATATTTACCATGTTGAGAATTCGGTACCACACTTATCTGCGAAGGCCCTTTCGATTCACAAAGACTAACTAAGTGAACACCAGGAATCGCCTCAGAACGGGTGTTCCAAGATTCCGAAAAGAACACATTTGACCACCATTAGATCGCATTCATGAAAGTGGATAAAATCCTCAAGCAGTAGCCGAACCTACACGCAAAAGTCCAAGGACCTTCGTTGGTGATGCACGCGAGCGAACGAATCGAATCCGGGAAGTGCTGGTAAGCGGGCTATATGTGATTTAGGGCTATGTGAAATAAAAAAGTGAAAAAAATAGTCAAGTTTGATAACTCAAAAGGTAGACTTTCTATGAACCTCGGCGTAATAATAGATATATCTCTATATATGTTTTTACGAACTGCTCTCTTTAGAACATCTGTGTCGACTAAAAGAGAGCAGTTCGTAAGAACATATCTATAATCAAATTTGAGTTTATAGAAGGAAACTATCCGAAGGCCGGGTGTAGGTAATCAAGAGAAGTGTTCCTAGTAAAATTATCAGGGATCATCGAGGAAAGTTTTGTAAGGTCGGCCGTATAATTGCTATTAAAAACTGAAACGATGATGCATACCTCCATTCCATCCATTCGAACATGTGCATGAACCATATTTGCTCCCCGAATTGTCTGATTTTTGACAATATGAAAATTAAACGGCGCGTGTAGTGCAGTGGTAGGAGGCATCCTGCAATACACAAGACATCGATCCTGGCTCTCCAACCCCTTTGTCACTCCGGGTTCGACAAATCGGTACCAGCCCTGTATAGGAGTATAGCAGCACTGGCTCGATACATCGGCGGGCATCCACGAGTCATTTTAAAGGCTAGGTATGCATTAAATCACTTCCAACGATGCTTAATGAAGTAGGATCCAGGATGCATCCCTCAGCGATAGACCAATGCCTAGAGCTCTATCCTTTATCTAATTTAACCAACACAAATTCTAGGTGGACTTGACGCGTTGTCGTCATGACGGAACGACGCACAATGTTGCCGCTGGCTGTCGACCAACCGAGGTTGTCGGTGAGTTTAGTTGAGTTGAAGAATTATTTCTTTAATACACAATTTTCTTCATAGATATTTTATCTAGCCCTTCGTTGTGCGGAGCCTCGTTGGGCAGGCGTACGATACTCACTTCTTGCCAATCCGCCAACTTTCACTGGACAAACTACGATGAGTAACTGGGTAATCGAAAAAGTACGAAAACTTTGCTGTGATTGTACGGCGCTGAAGATAACCGTATACTTCTTGTTCTCTGCAATCGCATGTTCAAAAGTATTTGAGTAAAGAGCAGATATTTGTTATAACAAATTTAGCTGAATGCATTTTGTTCACAATAACTTCGCTTCTATTCGCCTCGATTTCAGGCCGGTCTGTTCGATTTTCGGGTACCCGAGTTCTCTCCTGCACTTCAGATAGACTGGAACTACCATGTCTTTCATAACTTGAGCATAAAAGTGGGACCATTTTTTACTGGACTTCTCCAGCAAACTATTTACTGACTTTTTCAATAATAAAACCGCTCTTAATTACCGAACTTGGGTTTTCTTTGTATCCATTTGGATTAAATGTTACTTGTTTTTCCTATAAAAGCCATAATAGAGCCAGGTTCTCTTCGAGTGCCTAAACTTTCCGAAGTTCTCCTTCACCATCTGCTCAGTCAAATACCAGGTGGTTTACTTCAGCCGACTTACCTCAGGATATATCTGGAAGTTATGAAGACGTGTCCTTCCAACGGTATACGGCCCTGTCGTGGCTGGGAGAGGTGTTCCTGGGTGGCGAGCTGCGATGTACAGCCGGAGACTCGTCCCTTGCAGGGTCTCCCAAGCTGAGGAGGAGTCCGGCGTTTCTATCAGGAAGCTCAGCTGGGAGTAAACATATACCAGGATCGACCACCGTCTTGGTATCAAACGAGTTGCATGGTGGCAAATCTCCCTCTGATCCACAAGGGCTGCGACTTTCTGTGCTGGTGACGACCTAGAGCATACTTTGGCCAGGTGGACCACCGGACATCAGGGTAATACCATGACTAATTTAGCAAAACCCCAAAAAATGGAGACTACGCTGAGGCCCGCACAACTGGTGAGGACGGACCGTCCAAGTATCCAGGTAAGTAAGTAAGTGCGAAGAGGTGTATCTATATATATATATAT